TCTGTCCCAAAAATAAATAAAACGTTGAAAAAAAATTTTTAAATAAATAAATACTGACTGTTCTCATTTGTCAGAATGGACTCCTACTGGACTCATTTCTCCTAACGGACTCTTAGAACGAATACGTTTGCTTTGGGAATTAAGGATTATATACGAGCACTCTTAATCCGCCGTACTCAAGTAGCTGATACTCCAGCAGGTTCAATAACTACTCTCAGTTAAGTAAACAGAAGAGTTAGCACAAGCACAGTCTTCTGATTTTTCTGAGAACAAAAGATCAACCACGTGATAGCCATCAGCAGTAACATCTCCCCACTGGTGCACGTAGGCACACACTGGAAATTTCAGTGCAAATCACAGCATATGCTCATTTGAGATAATCCTGTACTTATGGATATTTCTTCAACAAGTATCTGGTCGATAGAAATATCAGTATATCTGAATAGTTCGTGATTGTGAAAAACTATGCATCCCCAATATCTGCCAAGGAAGAAAGGAAGGCAGGAAGTCAGCCAGCCAGCAAATGGACATGCCGCCCTCCTCCCGCGACCCCAGGATCAACCAGCCCTCCTAGGCCGTCCTGTTCACAGCTGTCTCCCCGCTGCGCCCCAGGGCCTCTGCGCGCAGCCGCCGCAGCGTCACCTACCACGGTGGCAACGTAGATGATCCGCTGCACCGTCTCAGCATTGTCGATGCAGCGTCGAAGCAAGCACTGTGCATCCAGGCGGGCCTGGGAATAGGCGTCGCTGAACCGGGACAGGAGGGCAGCCTTGCGCGCCACGCTGGACGCTTTGGCGCGGTTCGGCGACGGGCTCCTGACCTTGGCCACTGCGGTGGAGGGGCTGGCGGGGCGGCTGCGGCTGCGGCTGCGGCTGCGCGGGGCAGGGCTGGGAGTGCGGCTCCGGACCGACCTGTGCACAAGCAAGAAGCAGCCAGAGAAGCAGTCTGATGCACGCCTCCCTCGGTCCTGCCGCAAGTGCTGCAAGATACCTGGAGGCCCGCGCCCCGCTGCGGGCCCGGGAGAGCCGCTGTCTCGGCGACCTCTCCGCAAGGCGTCAAATACGCGCTCAGACGCTCTGTATCTGCGTGGTGAGCTCGCACCTCATGTTATCCTTTAAGCAGCCCCGGGAGGTCAACATCGATTGTGGGCCATTTTGCAGCCGAGGAACTCGAGGCTCCGAAAAGTTAATAGGGTCCCAAAGCAAAGTAACACCGCTAGCGAGAGCCGGAGTTAAAGAGATCGGCTTGTCAGTGTTTCTTACCCCAACCTTGGGGCACTAGCATATCCGCAGAGGCCTTATGGTATAAAACGGGATGAACACTGAACAGAGAGAAAGATCTGAATTCTCTCTCGATAGCAGTGGGACCGTTTGCACTCATCTCGTCTCTCCAAAGCCTAAAGTTTTCACCTACAACATGTTTGCCCTATTTCTGGGCAGGAGTGGGGGGCTGAAAGAGGCGGTGAGCTAAAACAGGGGGACGTACTTGGTGAATGGTAGAGCCCTGTTATCAGTGAAACGTATTGCTATCAAGTATAAATTGTCAAAGGAAAGGGGCCCCCAGAGAGGGAAGTGTTACAGAAGAAACTGTGAAGCAAATGGTAATACAAATCCCTCTCTGAAGGTGGAGAAGGAAGCTGTTGCTTCCTTCTGTCAATGGCAGTCTGTCTGACGATTTCCATGGTGCAAGAAATATTCCCATGGTGGCCAGTTTCAAGCTGTTAATGTGACATCACCCCGAACTGGGAGTTATTAGGCAGAAATGCACAGAATCAGTTCCTGGGGGCCAGTACAAGCTGGTGCCACCACAACATAACAGAGTGACTCTCAAAACTGGAAAACTAAGGTGGCATTTAGGGGAATGGGGACCAGGTGTGGGAGTGGCTTTGCTAGCCTGAGTCAGGCCACTCCGTGGGGCTGAGGGAGGTCACAGGTGTTAAAAAGAACAACCAGGGGCACCTGGGTGGCTCAGTGGGTCAAGCATCTGACTTCGGTTCAGGTCATAATCGCATGGTTTATGAGTTCGAGACCTACATTGGACTTTCTGCTGTCAGTGCAGAGCCTGCTTGGGATTCTCTCTCCCTCTCTCTCTCTCTCTCTCTCTCTTTCTCCCTCTCTCTCTCTCTCCCCTCTCCCTCAAAATAAATTAATAAACTTAAAAAAAAAAAAGAACAAGGAAAAATGCTCCAAGACAAACATCCTGCTTTGTCCTCAGTTAACTCTGAATGACGGGTCTTAGCATTCTGTCCGTCAGTAGAAACGGATGTCACAAGAACACTTACCTACACGCTCCATGAAACAGAGTGAGATACAGCAAGTAAAGTGACAGGTCATCATCCCAGAGAGAGGACTCCCAGGCCTCAGAGAACAGGACCCTCATATCAGGGAACATTCTTTCAGCCAGGGCACCACCCATACATTAAAGGCCCACCCAGATCAGCTTTCAAGCCAAAGAACTTTCCCCTCACATATCTCTCAGTTTCATTCCTTGGGCTTCAATGTCAGCCCCAAATTAACTGGTGCTCGAGCTCTGGCAATCCAGGAGGCATTTCCTCTCTCTGGAAGGGCGCAGTTCGAGCACACAATCCCTTCACAATTCAGTTTCCCGGATTGGAGGGGTTTGGGTTCAGGTTGTCATTCCACGTTTTTTCCCAGCCACCCTTGGACCGCTACCGAAAGGAGCTTAAATGAAAAGATCTATAAGAATTTGTCCGACCTTCCTTGGAGTACAGATTTTTCAGCGGACAAAACCGCTATCTCGTCCTTCAGCGTCTGAAGCTGTTTCTCATAATCGGATATCACTTCGGTCCGGTGTTCTGTGCTCCTCTTGTCCAGGACCCGCTGCTCCAACTTCCTCTGCTCTGAGGTCCTGGGCTCCGAGCTTCTGGAGTCCACACTCCAGTGCTCTGGGCTTCTGTGTTCTAAGTTTTTGTGGCGGCTTTCCTCCTGGGCCTGAAGAGATTTAAGCCTGCAAACAAAAATCAAGGTGGAGGGGCGCGTGGGTGGCTCAGTCGGTTAAGTGTCCGACTTCAGCTCAGGTCATGATCTCACAATTCTCACAGTTCGCAGGTTCGAGCCCCCACAATAGGCTCTGTGCTGACAGCTCAGAGCCTGGAACCTGCTTCAGATTCTGTCTCTCTCCCTCTCTACTGCTTCCCTGCTCGCACTGTGTCTCTCAAAAATAAATAAATGTTAAAAAAATTTTTTTTGAATAAAAAAAATAAAGGAAGAAAGAAAAGAGAGGGAAGCATAGATGAGGAAAGGTAATAACAACTGGCATACCTAATGACCGAGGCTGCTCTGCTTAGTATGCCCGTTACCGCATTGGACAACTCCGATGGAAATACACAGGCACAAACACAAATCAGAAAAGAGCAGAATTGCCAGGGTCAGAATGCTACCCGCCCCCCCCCTCCACTTGCATGAAAAGAGATTGCTGAAAAAAGAATATGCACACAGATCCTCCAACAAAAGCAGAGTGCGCCTATAGTCCTCCTGTTCTACATTTGGCTGGTCCCACACAGAACTCTGGAAGCATTTGACCTCCCAAACCTAGGGCCAGAAGCTGGTCTTATCTTCATTAGCTCTTTGACTCTCTGAACAGATGGATATGGCTGGGGGGGGGGGGGGATAACAATAGAGATTGAACAAGACCCACAATACTAGGTGGAACAGTGAACTTGTAAAAATAATGTATTCTAGAGACAAAGCTTCAGAAATACAATTGGCATTCTTATAAAGATAAAAATAGGTGTCACTAAAACAGTAGCAAAGCCACACAAAGACTATGTGCTGTGATGAAAAGGACAGTGATAGAAGGTGAAAAGGCAAAGGCTAAGATTAAGAGGGAGGCAAACTGTAAGAGACTCTTAAATACAGAGAACAAGCTGAGAGTTACTGGAGGGCAGGGGATTAAGGGGATGGGCTAAATGCGTGATGGGCATTAAAGAGGGAACTTTTCAGGAAGAGCACTGGGCGTCACATATAAAAGATCAATCACTGGGTTCTACTCCTGAAGCCAAGACTACACTGTAAACAAATAATTGAAAAAATAAAAAATAATGCCAGAAAAACGAGAGAAGTACACAGAGAAGCTAGAAATGTAATAGCAGAATTAAAAGCTGCGCTGGCAACAGTAAAGAACAGAATCGCTGCTACTGGAAATCACTGAGTTATATGATCACAGAATTTGAGAAGGTCTTTCAAATAGGAAATAAGAGATGAAAACCAAGGCAAGAGGGGAGATAGAAGTGGAAAACTGACCACTACTCCCAGCTATAGTGTGGAGGTGTTCCTGAAGAAATCAGAACAATGGAACATGTTTGAAGGCAACAGAAAGGTATTTGTGTGTGTGTGTGTGTGTGTGTGTGTGTGTGTGTGTGTGTGTGTTTTAACACAACTCCCACTTCCTTTCTGCGGGGGCAAAATCAAAAATAATATCAAGGAAGCTATATCACCTTACACCTGTCAGAATGGCTAGAATCAAAAAGACAAGACAGAACAAGTGTTGACAAGGATGTGTGGAAAAAGGAAGCCTTGTGCATTATTGGTGAGAATGTAAACTGGTGCAGCCAGTGTGGAAAACAATATGAAGATTCCTCAAAAAATTAAAACTTGAAATACCTTATGGTCTAGTAAATTCCACTATGGGGTATTTGCCCAAAGAAAACTAAACATTAATTTGAAAAGATACATGTAACCCTATGTTTATTGCAGCATTATGTACAATAGCCAAGATATGGAA